TGAAGAGGTACATATTCCAACCATGGAAATACAGAGTGACAACTCTGAGGATGATGGAGATGCTAGATAACGATAACAACAATTGGTTGTTTCAGAATATTTTAACTAAAATATAAGGCACTGTGAAGTAAATTCTTAGTTCATGTAAACCACTGCTTAGACATGCTCTTGTGATTGGTCACTGAATCTACCCAGCTGTCCTCATGAGCTATGAGTGAGGAATCCATGTATTTCTTACCAAAGAGGGAGGGGTACCCACCCTTCAACAAGGGGGGACATAATTCTTAGAGAACTGCTGTCCTTTTTCTTTTAAAACTGTAATTTAAATTTTGGTATTTGAACTTTCTCTTTAGTCTAATGGTTTTCAGATCATAGGAGAGGTAAATGGGTGAAACAGCACCTAAGACATTATATACCTGTCTCATTCAATTGATCAGCAGTTGATTTCATTTTCCAAACCTAGATGATTTTTTAAAGAAACCTTTCATTTTTAAAAAGCAAAACAATCCCCCTCATGCCAAAGAATATAACGAAGAATGACAGCATCTTGCTGTCCTTAAGAAAACCTATTAGCTGTCTCAAGAGTTAATCTTTCAAAGATTATATTGGAATTCAGAGAGGTAAATAGATTCTAAAGATGCATTCTATCCCCAAAAGCATCATCATCACGGCCGGGCTTCACGAATGAAGATTTGAGAAGGTTCTATCCACATTTGTTACAGGCACGTTAGTGACTTATGAGGCCAATATGAGACAGACATATCCGATTGCAAAAGGCACAGCAGAAAGACTCCTTAGATGGTAAATTCTGCAAAACACGGCTTTCTGCATTGCCTTTTCTCCTTGAGAGTGATCCTGCGTGTGTTCTCAAAGGAGACAGCTGCGTTATAGATGGCGTGTCTCCAGGCCTCCCGATTTGAGACCAGAGTAGACCAGTTATGGTGATCAATATGGCCAAGGCTGAGATGTTGTTTCAGGCAACAACTTTTGTTAATGCACATGCATTACACAATAACATCTTAAAAATGCAAAATAAGACATTTTTAAGAATTCACTGCCTAAAGTCAGAACTCATGTGAACATTCAAATTGATTAGCTACAGCCAAAAGCTAAAAGGTACATAATAGAGCCTGAAAAATTAATGAAAGCTTTGCTATTTTAGTTTACCATCCCTGTTTTTCTTCTCTCTTAACACTCCTACCATTGCAACCATCAGTTTTGTAACAGAATGTTTTACCAGACCCTGAAGCAGACACACCGACAAATGAATTCAAGATTGTCCTGAAAAGTCTGTGAAAACACCTCAGGAAATGTTGACTCTTACAGTCTTAGGATCAAAGCTGAATTTTCTGAAGTTAAATGATTTAAATTTTTTAGATGATGAATTGGATGTAGCTCTTCATGAATGTTTTGTTTTCTAATTATGAAACATTTTTCACATACAATAAAAACTGGTTCTTTAAGAATACGAATATTCAGTATTTTTAGGCATCTTTTAATGTTTTAGAACTGAACTTTCTGTGACATTTCGGAGTGTCAGAGGAAAAGGCACTTGCAAAGGAAACCTCATATTTTCAAATGCTTATGGGAAAGTGTGAGATTATGGTATCATAGCTTTCACAGCATTTTAATAGCCTTGTGGTAATTAAACTGCATTGGGCCAGATCCTGCTGTCCATGCTGAGATCACAACTCCAAAGCATGGCCAGTGATAGTGTGCACTTATTCATTGTGGACTTGGTATCTTGAAGTTCCAGCTAAGACCAAGGGCTCATTTAGCAGAATTTCTAGAATTTGTGGTAAAAGGCAATCTTTGATTTAACACATTTACAGTGCATGGCTGGCTGTTAGATTTAATCCTGTGGGAACCCAGTGAGCTTCCACAGTACCCAGGGTGGGCTTAGATGACAGAAAGCTGACAGATTCAGGAGTCCCGATTTCCAGGCTGGTGCTCCCACCCCCCATCATTTCACTTCTGTGAACATACTAAAAGGCTTTTTCATAGGAATTGTATTGGGATTTGAATGGCATTTTCCCTAGACTAAAGGTGTATGTTTAAAGTGTTTTGTTACCTGTGGTTCTGTATGGACTCTTAAATAAGAGAATTATTACTGTGTTAGTGTCCTATGAGAACTTGGGCTTTGATAATTATTTTTTAGAGTCCAAGGCTGTAACGCATGATTACTAACAGGCTGGAACACATCAGAAGGATAAGAACCAAGAAGAAGGGGAATAGCTTGTGGTTTAGATGCTGATGTTAGTTGAGAGATGTGATCTTGGCAAATTCCTCTCATCAGCTCTGTGCCATAGCTTTCTGTTTCTAAAACAGAGATTAAAATGTTGGGGTTTCTTTTCTCTTGCCTTTTGTCTGCCTAGATTGTAAGCACTGGTGAGGGCACACACGTGCAACACCTTGTATATTAGTGCTCCTTGCTACAACCACAACATTTAATCAATAAAAATATGTCTTGTGCTTCTTTGATTGATAAAATGCCGAATGTCTCACTAGTCTGAGCTAGAGAAACAAGTTTTTCAGATGACCTTTAACTGGGAATAGTAGGAGATCACTGTCCTTGCCTTTCAGTTGGAGAGTATGAAATCAGTAATGCAAATTTTCAGGCTCTTGGTATGCAAATTAACAAAAGAGGTGGCAGTACACACATCTTTTCAAAGCTCAAACCATCACATGTGCACAGGAAAAAATAAAAAAGGTTACACTTCTGTAGCTCTCTACAGTCGAGCATTCTTTCAAAGGGAAAATCCATCACTTTGAAGAATTTACAGAAGAAAACCTCCACAACAACTAAAGCTGCAGGCAAAGGAGTGAAAGGCAAAATGCAACTGCTGAGAAAAATAAATAAGGGCCTTTACAGCAGTCCCATTGAATTGAAATTTTCCTTTATCACAGACTAGGCTGTTCTAATCTTCTTTTCTACCTCTAGCCACATATTTTAAAAGAAGATTTTCTAAACATAAAAATGTTACAGTAGAAGCAGAGTTTCTTACTAACCGTCTCTTACTGTACCAGAACACCAACTGAATTTCACCAAGGAATCAGTTTGGCTTAATTTTTCATTCTTGTTGTCTGCATGAGAAATATCTACACAAAAAGTGGCAGCTGAGTCATACATTGATACAACTTTCATCTTCCACAGGAGATGGCATTCAGCAAGTGCACCAAATGCTTGCAAAGGCCTTGGAGCACAGGCAAGGCTGAGCATCGTGGTGAAGCCTCCTGCAAGACATGTTGTCCTTAAAGGTCCCAAGAGCCACAGCAGCCCAGACACTTGTGACATCTTGTTTTTTCAGGTAAGCTTAAACAAAACCTCAGGCAAACTAAGTTTATAGGCTATTTTTTACAGAGGCCACATTCTTTAACACTTAAAGTACAGAACTAAAGAATGGTCTAAATGAGATATAAATTTTGTTTACTGCTGTTCCATGTCAGGAGATGTATTGGGCCAAAAGCTGTAGCTCTGCTGAATCAACAGCCTTGAGTATCAAGCTAAAAGCAAGGTGACACTGTAGCCATAATTTTATTTGGGAATGAACTGATTTTTCTTTGCTCAAGAATGAGGTGCCACAGAAGGAGTCACATATAGGACTAACTAGGGAGTTTAAGCAGAAAATGAAGAAAATGCCTTGAAAACCTGGACTGGTGCGAGGATAGGAAGGATGAAGGGTGATACTGCTCCTGAATATATACTCCTGAGGAACAGGAACCATTTCTCGTCACGCTGGCCACTCCCAAAAAGTGGTTGGCAGTGGCCATCCTGGGTGTCTTGGACTGTAGCCAGAGCAGGCAGTGAACCATGACCAGCTGATTGCCTTCAGAAATCCAAAGTCCCCTCAACACCACCTGCTTCTGTGGCCTCCAGCCAGCCTTGACTTTGATGGTAACAATTCTGCTCTAAACACAGTGTGTTACAGTACTCCTGCTATAAAAAGGTATATTTCAGTTTGAGGCTAAATCTTTCTATATAAACCCCACCTATTTCTCATCTGTCCTGATATTTGGTAGCACTTCTTTTATTTCTCCACAGAAGTTGTATGGGCCAGGTTAGCTCAGATATGGGGATAACCAAGGGAATATGTGGCTGCTTGAGGTCTGCTGGGACACAGGCGCATGCCGGCACTGAAACCACCACAGGCCAGAGAGTCATATTGGACTGCAGGTGGCTTCTGCAGAACCTTCTGGAGTGTGGATACATGTAATTTCCAGAACTGGTTTTGAGCTGCCAAAGTGGGTCTGTAAGGAATTAACTTCCACCCAGCATGGCTTATTAGCCCTGGCTTGTTAAAGCCTGCGAGGCTCCAGAGCAGGCTGGACCTGCTCCAAGTAATTTCACAGAATATTCTGAGTTAGAAGAGACTCACAAGGATCATTGAAGTCCAACTTGTGATTGGCCTGTACAGGATTAAACTCACAACCTTCATGTTATTAACACTATGCTCCAACCAGCTGAGTTAACCTCAGGGTCCAACTCAAGGATTTGCACTAATGAGAGGGTTCATATCGGGTTTTTTGAATACATACCTAATTGAGATGTGTTTGGTACCAACAACATATTGCATTAATAATACTGTATGTGCAACAGAGCCTTGTGGCTTCTCTTGACTGGCATCCCCCAGGTCTGTGTGCCTGTTTCTTTGTACTGGTCTTGCAGCGATGCTCCTACATCCCAAGGTGTGGGGTGGGATGTAGGATAGCGGGCAGACAGGGGACATGACCTGATGTGTCCCAAAGCCTGCCCGTACCGCTCTGCTAGCGACATCGCGTCTTCTTTCTTAGGGCAGGTGACGCAGGAGAGCCAAAGGGTGCCGGTGGCTGCTTCTCTGGTCAAGGTCGTGCGCTGTCAGCCCGGTCCGGAGCCCAGGGCTTGGCGTGGCGTGGCCTAGCTTGGCTTGGCATGAAATGATTCCAGCACGCAGGGTGCGGGTGCGGGCTGTGCGGGCGCACCCACCGCCATCTCCCCGCGGAGCAGACGCTCCCGCCGCCCCTCAGTCCCCTCTCCCGCCCGGAGCACGGGCCCCCATTGCCTCTGCCGGCCCCATCCCCCGCCCATCCATTGGCGTCCCGGCCCCACGTGGGCGCGGCGTTTGCCGGGAAGGAGGGGGCTCGGCGGAGGGGGCGGGCGGTCGTTGTCCTGGCGACAGGAGAGTGAGTTGTGGCGGCGGCGGCGCGGAGCGGCGGCGCTGGAGCCGGAGCTGTAGCCGGGCGTGCAGGGCGGCCCCTCGCCCTGCCCCGGGCGCATGGGCCGCCGGCCCGCAGGAGGAGCAGTGCCCAGGGCCGCCCACCCTCCCCGCCGCAGCAGCCCCGGCAGGTACCGGCGGGGACCCGCCCGGCGCGGGGGAGCCCGCCCGGCGAAGGAGGGATGCGAAAGTTTGTCCCGGCGCGCCCTGCCGCTCCGGCGGCGGGAGAGACGCGGCCACAGGCGGGCGGAGCGCGAAGCCGAGCCGAGCCCCGCCGGGGGAGCGGCTCCCGGCGGCGGGAGGGGGGTCCCGAGGGGCTCTGCCCCATCCGCAGCGCGGCTTGGTGGGGCCGGCGCCGCCCGCAGGAGCGGCTCCTCCGCGCTGCCTCCCGCGGGGGCGGCCCGAGGGGCGGCCGTGACTGGTGCGGGGGTTCCGAAGGTCCCTCCCTCGGTGCCCCCGCCTGGATTTGCGCGGTCTGGCAGGCTGAGCCCCCGGCAGGGGTGGGCGCGGGTGGGGTTTGCTGCCGGGCGAATCTTGCCGCTGCCGCCCTCTTTTATTATTTTTATTATTATTTTGTCTCATGTCGCGTGCTGGGCAGAGGGGCGCCCGCCCCGCCTGGAGCCCGCGGGTGGAGGTGTCCCCGCGGGGTTTTTTGTCTCTCACCTCGGGCCGCGCTACAGACTCACGGAACTTGGGAGCTGCCGGGCTTCTGTTTTACGTGGAACTTGTGGATTTGCTTGGCTTGCTTGTTCTGAAACACCAGTCAGTGGCGGGAATGAAGGATTTCTGATGCTGCGGGATTGCGTGGGTTTTTTTAATGAGCCCCCCGCCTCCCCAAAAAAGTTGTGTTCATTTGCTCTGCTTTCGATGAAAGACTGGCAACCAGGAGGCGTGTGCGGGGATCTGGGTACCCAGCGAGGTGTTTCTGAATGACATTGCTTGCAGGTCGGGATCTTTTGGGGCTGTGTGCTCAGGATGGACCCTCCTAGGACACATCCAGGTGCAGGCCTTAAGGTTTAAATTTAAGAACGTTAACTCACCTGTGGTTCATTGAGATCGTTTATATATTTAACCCATGGTCAGGTGTAGGCTCTCGAGTTCTTACAGCTGTTTATTCAGGGGGGGGTTTCAGTCATAGCCCACCTGGGTCCAGACTGGGGGTTCTGGATGTTGCAGTGGTGGGAAAATGAGATAAAATTTTGGATCCCTTGATATTTTGTTGGTTTCAATGTCTCTGGCTATGTGGTGACTTCCCCAGCAAATCTTAACTTTTTTTCTTCCTGAAGTTTTTGTTTTGTATTTAATGCCAATTAAATTTGCATTAAATTGAATTTGGTAGTAAATCAATTTCCACAATTGAAAACATGGAGAGATAAAAAGTAAAACTTCTTTTTATTGGAGATAATAAGAATAAAATTCAGTCCAATGGCTGATCAGAAATGTTTCTTCAAGCTTCAGGATACATTTCTTTTTTCCATGTTAATACCTTTTTTTTAAAAATATATGAAGCTTAATGTAGCTAACTCATGTGATGACACTAAATACCTGTAATACATGCTCTTAGGTTACAGACATATACTAAGTACTATATACAAATACTCACATATTTCCCCAGAGAGTCTGTCTACTCCCATGATGCTTAAAGCTGTAATGTTGAATGCACAGGAACTTCCAGAGATTGCACTTTTTCTTTTTCTTTTTTTTTTCTTTTCTTTTTTTTCCTAGTTCAGGGGACCTTTCATGTTGTCCTTAGTTGCACTGGTTATGTCATGCTATTCCAGCATGGCATTACACGATGTGACTGATGCAGTCTCATGTGTCACATCACAGTGAAATCACTGGAGGGAAAAAGTTTTCCTTGATGGGACTTAAGGATATTTATAAAAGTTGGAGTTTTTTTGGTGTGTGATATTTGATGCTAAGGTCAAAGGCCATTCACTGCCTTCAAGGTACCTTTTAGATTTCCCTGATTATTGGCAGGTTTGAAACCACAGATCAGGAGGACATTCTGGTTCAAAATAAAATTTGAAACCTCTTATTTCTCTTTAAAATGGTTTAGATGTGGTTTTAGATTATTTTCAAATGGCAAAGCACAGCAGCATTGCTGCAATCAGTTGTATTCTTTCCTGTGCTTTTTAGAAGAAAAAGAACTGGATTAATGACCTACTGCTTCGTGGTGAGGAGCAGAGAAAGAGCATTTGAAGTGATAGGCAAAAGCAGTATTTCTACTTGTTGTCTTGTCAAGATTTTTGCCTTGGAATAACAGGGGACCTCAGCATGTAGAACAGACATTTCTACTATGTTATGAAAAATGTATTTTATTTATACTGTTTATTCTTTAGCGATGGAAGGATGTCTGATGGCTTTTTTCTTTATTAGTTCCTTTGTTACATAGGACAGAGGTTTGGATTTTTTTTGGAGCTTGTCTCATGACCAGGCTTGTAACAACATGCAGCTAAATATGTGGTTTTATACCATGCTCAGCTAATGTGGCTGAAATTGATTTAATATTTAGCCTTTTTAGTATGGAATTCAGTGTAGTAATTTCCTGGTGCCTGCATATTGAAGCCTACTGGTATTGATCCCACCTTACAAATTAACTCAGCGATTTGTCTCTTGTAGTAAACTTGTGCTTCTCAGTGCAAAAAAGAACAGCATTATAAGGTGTTTGACTTGCTAAGCTGTGATTTCAGGCATCACTTTCTTTCTCAAGTAATAATAGAAACTGTATTAGTGTGCTCAGGATTTTGGGAGGTGATGCACAATAACCTTATAGACTGTGGAGAAAGATTCTTGGGTGAGAGACCCCAGAAGAATAATGGTTTTGGCTTTAGGGACTTGAACCCTGCAGAGCTGGGTTTTGAGTTGATCCTTGCAGGCTTCAGTGAGTGTTGCAAAAGGCTCAGCTGTGGTGTGCAGTACTGTCATTCTGGGGTGTTTTTATTCAAGAAACCCCAAAGACAAGGTAATACACTAAATAGCCATCAAAGCATTTCGAGAGGCTTGCATGAAGAGTGTAGTATGTTCAAAACATGAAAGTATTGTATCAGTTCTGACTTGTGGCTCCTGGTGGTGGGCAAAGAATATCAGTAGCTATGTTTTCTTTCAAGCTGGTAAAAACTGCCTTTTCCCCCCCTTTCTAGGTATTTGTTTGAATACATAGAAGAAGATGACAAGCGTGCATGGATGATTTTACGTAATTAACACCTGCTAGATTTGCAAAAGGCAATTATCACTGTGAAGTGTTTACATTGATTTATGGGAAGAAGGTGGCCCATGAGAGGGATGCTGATAATATCAACACAGTGGATTAAATGCACATTTACACCTTTATTGACATATAAATTAGCCGTGCCAGGAATGCACTGAAAAGGCTGCTGATGGAGCAGTAATGTGGCACAAACTACTGGATTTGGATTCAGCTCCGTCATCCTTCTGTAAGGCGTGTACATGGAAACCTTCATCTGAGCTACTGTAGGATATAGAGGCTCACAGAATGACTGCTTTTTAAGATAATGAGCAGTGATGGCAAACAGGAATTTAGAAGGATGATAAAGGACATGGATGAGGTTTGAAGGAATTATTTTGCTTTTTAAATTATTTTTAGATTTCTGTTGTTTATGCTATGGATTTTTAGAGAAAGCTTAGAGGCTGAAAGAGTCTTTGTAGCTGGGAAATGGAACCTGGCTCTGAATCCAGCCAACATCAGAAAAGGAAGACTGTGACACATGGACTGGAAGATCAAAAAAGGGTAAGTGACAAAAGGCAAAAGCACTTTCTGCTTAAATTGCTGAAGGAGGCACAATGGCAGAAGAGCTCCTTATAACACTTCTATCAGTTGCACTTGCTGCTCACTATGCTTAGCCAGCTTTACATCTCTTCTCCTGATTACATATTTTAGAAGATGTTTGTTTTTGTCTTTAAGCTTGTTCCGATGTACAGAGTAAAGAGCTGAGGGTAGGGGAAATTGTAATATGCGTGAAAGAAGGGAAAAACCTCTAGAATTGTGACTGTTTGTTGGTGAGGAGACATACAGTGAAAATTAAATATATTGACTCTTATTGATTGACAACTTATTGGTTTATTGTAAGTTTAATTTTTTTTAATTAATACCCTTAGTAGAGAGGTTAAAAAATTGTTTTCTTGTGGTTTGGTGTTTTAATTTGCTGAAAATGTCAGTATCGTCATTGTCCTTCCTGGTGGTCGTGTTTGCATTTTACTGGAGTTGCCGGATGTAATTTTGACTTGAAACAAAATGCATGGTGGAATGTGCCTAATGTCAGCTGCTGGACCTTGTTTTGTCCAAGTGGTTTGTGAAAGCTCTGTGTGTCAAGGTAGCGTTGTATTATTTCATCCTAATGGATTGGTGCTTTAAATTGACCTAAATGAAGTTGCAGTCTCAGGCAGACTCTGGTTTGTGAACAACTGGGACTTGAAAGTTGTTTTGTTGGCACCAGTCAAGCAAAGTGTAGAACTTGACATGTTTCTACTGAATAAATTACTCATGCCACTTTCCACGCAGATTTCATGGGTGATCGAAAAGTCTGTGTTCAGCTTTGTGTGGAGAGCTCCTTTCCTCTGTATGATTTTTATTTCAGTTGAAAAGTGAGTTGGAAAAAAAATTGACTGTCAGCTATTATTTTGCTGTTCAACAGCGCTGCCTCATTTTGGAGAGAGGGAGGTTTGTGTCACAATTTCATCAAGTCTGCTGAAGAATAAAAGTGGTTTCCCTGTCACCCCATTAGAAATATAAGTGGCCTGGAAAACTTTCAGAAATTGGATAAAATGCAGCTGTTTGCTTAGAGAGAAATAGCATTTGGGGACCATTTATTTGGGGAACAAAATAGAACTTCTGAGTGTATTTTAATTGCACCAAGCAAGATCTATTAACTGACAAGCTGCCAAGGTCTTCCTTCTACTTTTTTCAAGGAAGCATTTTGGGACTGAAGTAAATCAATATGAGTTGTAACAAAATCCTTCCATTGACTTAATTTCTGGAGGCTGCTAGAACACTTTTTTTTTCCCCCCCCTCTTTAAGTGTAGAACATTATACTGCATATGGGGTGTGATGGGAAAAACATTTGCAACCTGTGACACCAAAGTAGACTATAATTGTTTTGATACAGCAAAATTAATATGCAATTATGTCTGTCTCTCCTTACTGATAGATATAGAAGCCTACATCTCCCATCTGCTCCTGGCTCTGGGTATTTGGTGCACATGTAGTTGGGGCCTCTGAATGTATAATATAACCCCAAGTGAGGCTCAGTGGCAGCTGGGATAACATCAATTGGTCATGCTTTGCTGACATTCATTTTAACTTGAACTCGAGCCGTCATGGAGATTATTAAATTTATAATGATATATGTAAGATCCATTTTAATGGCTCTGCATGCTTGGGTGATCTCTCTCACTTCTGTTTGCAAAACAAGTCTTAATAGAGTATTACATTTCATTTCCTATAGAATTTTTCAGGGAAAGGTTACTGAGGAGAGATTTGCTTAGACTTGTGTTTACTGAGAAAAAGCAGTTTGGAATAATAATGTTGATGCAATTCAGTTGTTGTTATTGTGGAGTTGAAT